CAGAACAGAGGCACTGAGCATGTGGCTGGTGGCTGTGGGGTGCCAGGGCGCCTCTGCCGCAAAGGAAGCAGAGGTGGGAGAAGCAGGAAGGGCCTGGCGGGGGCTGGGAACTGGCTAGGGAACTGGCTAAGACAGGAAAAGAGGGGGTGGGGATCACTGGTCAGTTTTCTGAGTGCAGAGAGGTGGCTAGTGGCCTGCCCCCACGGGGTCTGTCCTGGGGCCGTGCTGTTCAACTGAGAAATGATCTGGGAAAAGCAGCAAAGGGAGGTGGCAAAGTCTGCGGATGACACCGAAGTGCTCGAGCCAGTTCGGTCCCAAGCACACGGCGAAGAGCTTCAAAATGAGCTCACACGACAGAATGGCCCATGAAAGTCGATGCTCTGAAATGCAAAGTAACGCCCACTGGAGGGGTCAAATCAGCTGTCACCTCCCAAGGGAGAGCTGTGCAGTCAGGGTGGCTAGTTCTCTGAAAACATCCACGCAGCGGTAGATGGAACAGTGGCGCTCAGCCAAGAAGGGTGGTGGTGACTGGACACCTAGCGCAGTGAAGGCTGGAGAAAAGGAGGAGGTTCAGAAGTTCAAAGTTATTTAGACAAGTTAGATGTCTTCAAGTCCCCAGGCCTGATGGAACGCACCTAGAATACGGCAGGAGCTGATTGAGCCTTTATCCAGCATCTGTGGAAAGTCACGGAAGCGAGGAGAGATTCCGGGAGACTGGAAAAGGGCAAATCTAGTGCCCATCTATAAAAAGGGAAATAAGAACAACCCAGGAAACTCCAGACCAGTCAGTTTAACTCTGGGCCAGGGAAGAGAATGGAGCAAGTAATTCATCTGCAAACACCTGGAAGATAATGAACCAACCTGACAGATAAGGGAGAAGCGGTAGATGGGGTATACCTAGACTTCTGTATCAATGCTTTCCTGCAGGATTACTTAACTTTGGACGCCTCAGGGGCCGCAGTGATACTTACAGCACATGCCAAGGACCGCAACTTAAGTGTGGTTGCATAGACATGCAAATCTAGGCAAATAGCTCCTTTCACACCACCAGGCATGAATTCAAAGATCAAGGCAAGGCTACACAACACGCTGGCCCCATTGAAGTCAGTTCTGCTGCTATTAATACAATGCAACACTGACCCCATTTCCACCCAAAGGACAGCACTTGCAATGAGCAAGGACAGTCCAGGGACTGAACTACTACAGCATCTCAGCAGAAGGCCATTCTATTGGCGACTTTTTGGTTTTGGCTCCCGCCCGCGGGCCACAACCAAACGGGCCGCGTGTTGATAGCCCTGCTTCACGGTATCACGTGGCCTCCTTATCCATACACAGGGCTCGCCAGTCTACGCAATCTACTGCCCCGTGGCGAGAGCCGGGTTCGGGCGATCTGCGCGTGCACAGAACACCGGACAATGCAGCTGGCGAACCCCGTCCATACGCGTGCTCCGCGGAACCCTGGGGCTCCATGCAATGGATCCAGGAGTGCCACTAGGAAATATTCATGGTAGTTGTATGGGGAAACCAGAACAGAGACGACTGTTTCTAGACAAAACAGCCTAGCGGTGCGAGGCCGACTCAGTGACACGTGAAACGTCTGGTCTAGCTCTTCACAAGCCCAGGGGTCAAGAGTTTATCTCCTGCTTCCTTCAGCCCGTGGCCTGTTGCAGGACAGACTCTTCACACCGAGTCTGTTCGCAGTACGTCGCTGCCTACCTCTACCAAGCACAGTCTCCATGGACGAGTGGCTAAAAAGGAGAAACTTGGCTTTTAACAATCAGTCTTCGGCTGGACCAAATGAGCAAACTCTTGGGACAGGACAAGGAGACACTCACAGCCGCTCGTGACTGAAAAACCAGGAAGGGAGCAGTCCAAGAGGAAACTACTCCAGCCACCGGATTAGCAGCAGGCAACAAGAAATGCAAGTACGATGCGAGTTACTGGCCTCTTGGGCGTACTCTGCCCCCGATGCGCAGCGTGTGCTGTACTTTCCAGTAGTTCCCTGAGGCCTTTGTAGTTTAGCAGGTATTTAGAAACAAATCATTCTGATCACAAAGACAAAGGCGTTTTTTTCAAGCGAAAGCTTAGCGCAGTTTCAACTAGTAAATGCTGTGTGATGATGAACATCGCTACATCAGGCAGTGAACACGCAAGAGAAGTGCCCTGCCCAGCGAGGTACCGGCTTGCACCCAGTGGAGAAGCATGTGAGATTGCAGAATCGTCACAGCAAGCTAGTAGAAAAGGGGAAGCCCTGCCACTGCCACGCCAGACTGACGTGTCACGTCTGAGCTCTTGCTGCTGCCATTGAGAAGAGCCACTTTCTCCACTGCCGTGGAGTGATGCATATTCTCTGCAGCTGCAGGAGTCCACTGCCTGACGGGGCATGCAGTGGGACTGCTGACTTGTGGAGCAGTACGACCGGGGGAGATGCTGCCGTGTCTGAACGAGGCACAACGCGCTGGCTGCACAGTGGCAGCAGCCGGGCCCCAGCTGCACCGCGACTCAAGCTGAGCCGCGGGGTTTTCCCACAGACAAGGCCTTGCCATTTAAAGCGTCTGGACAGGGCAGCGCCAGTTGCTGATGACGGAGAGACTAGCCCACACGGTGCAAGCAGCAGCACCCAGCGCTCCCTCCGCACGGGGAGGCAGGAAAGTGCTGGTGAGCCTGAGCTGCGTCGGAGTAGGTGTGTGAGTACCGGTTAACTGACTGGTCGAGCAACCTCGTGAATTCCTAGCGGCTAGTGGGCTAGTCTGTGGTCCCCGGGGGCGAGGCCGGCACCAGTGACCCCATCTGTGGCTGCGGAGACTTGTGTATCTTGCAGGTACAGTCTCCAAGCGGAATGAAGTTAATCAGGCTCATCTGAGGAAGTGAGTTGTGCCCCCAAAAGCTCGTGAACGACCTATATACCGTATTTTCATTCCTCTCCAAGGGGCCACAGGACTTCTCATCAGTTTGGAAGTTAGCGTCACAGCAAGGAAGAAAGCAGAACATTTTCACCATAAAAAGATACAATTTCATCACTACTGAGGACACTGGAACTTTGGGCATCAGTCGCAGAAGAAGAGAACTTGATGGTTTTCCTACGCTGAATGACTTTGAAACTGCTTCCATCCTTGAAGACAGTGGCAGTGACTTAGTCCAGCACCGACTGGCACCCCTCTCTTTTATACTTTCCTCCCACAAATGACAATTCTTGGAGGAGAAATCCATGGTTAACAGCAGCCAAGCCATGTGGCTTATCAGATCAAGATTATGAGAGCCTGGTCGACATGACTTGCAATTACCAGCTCAAACAATTTCAATGAACTTCCACTAATTAATTTTTGGAGCAAGAAGCGGCCACAAAGTCATATGTAGCAGGCCGGGGATGGAAGTTTCCATCCTTGCAGTACACAGGACTGGAGTCTGCAAATGCAAACAGCAGCTTGGCTTTATCAGCTTTAACCCATGCCTTGAGCTGGGAAATCAAGTTTGGCCTCGGTCTCAGCTCATAAGTGATAAGAATGGGGTTGAGCCAGTATGCGCACACCCGTAAACAAATGTAGTGTAATTACTGTAGGGAATCCTCGGTCCAGTGAGTCTCACCAGGGACCTAGACCTTGAAGGATGCCCTGGATTCCCCCAGCTGGAGCACATCCACTGCGGCCTGGTGCAAGGTGACAGGAACGGGACTCCCCGCAGACTGAAGGGGCATGAGCATTTCTAAGTGCCTATTACTCTCTCATGCATTGCTCTGCTTATGCTTATTGATGTGTCACTTTGCAGTAGCTATGTAACCATCTGGCAGTAGATAGAGGTGGAGGGGAGGGGTAACCCAAGGTGGCATTTCAAAGGGGCAGTCTCAGCTGTGCAGCGGCTTCCCCACCTTTCAAAGGCATAGTGGAGCCTGGGGTCAACTGGGGAGTCCCCTGCTGACCTCGGGCTCCATGGCTTTGAAACGCACAAGAGCCCCCGCTCAGGACTCTAGTGCATTTCAAAGCAGGCACCAGCACGCAGCCTGGAGTCAGCGGGACTTCCCCAGGGGGGCTCTTGTACATCTCAAAGGAGGAATGTGAAAATGCCTATCGACTAGTCGATGGAAATTCCACCGACTAGTCAACTAGTCAATTAACTGCATTTTAACCAGGACACTTCCATGCTTCGCCACCCACAGACCCTCACTGGTCTGGGTATGGGGGAACTTTTGCCCCCACTAGAGAGAACCATCAGCTGTTCTGAACAGCTGGTGATTCTGTCTAGGCACCTGTGCCCCAGAGGATGGGAGAAGACTTTGCATGATCCCCCTGCCGCCCCCAGGTCACTCAGGGCCTGGGGAGGGGGAGCATGTGAAGTCTCTCACTCCCTGCCCCCACACCGAGGTTACATCTATACTAGAGCCTTCTTGCGGAAAAGCATATGCAAATGAAGCCCGGCGTGGACTATCACCACACTTCATTTGCATACGTAAGGAGCAGCCGTTTTTGCGCTAAAGCGAGCGCTGTATCCGCTCCTTTTTGTGCAAAAAACCCTCGTGCGCAAGAGCCGCTTTCCTCAGTTTTTGAGGGCCCATGGAGGCCCTTTTGCCCACCTGGTTAGACAAACAGCTGTCAAAGCGCCTGCCAAGTGCTGGGGCTGGATTCGACCTTTCGTGGCTCCTTCCACCAGTCCTAGTATCGAGAAATGGCTCGAGAAGGCAGAACATACCCTACTGGTTCTATCACAATCCATGGGACACCCACATCTTCAACACTGGCTGCAGATGTGGTCAGCTTATCTCAACAAAGGTATCTGAGCACTGGAAAAGGTTCAGAAAAGGGCAGCAGCACACTGAGGGGTTGGATGGGTCCCATCTGGAGAGAGAGAAGACTGGGACTTTTCAGCTTAGAGAAGAGACGACTGAGGGGGATGTGGCAGAGCTACGGACGTTCAAGCAGGATTAGTGGGCTAACCCTACAGTCGGTGTGATCAGTGACCGATCGTACAGTCGGAACCAAGCTCCGCTGTGTGGAGCCATACCCATACCGGGGGTCGCTCCAGGAGCCAACTCGAGCTGGGAATGCGCAGACCCGGCTCCAGGATGCCGGGCTCCAACATAGTCAGAGCCGCCGGGCGCTTTAAGAGGCAGAGGCGCAGCACTGAGCGTGTGCCAGGACTGCTCGGAGTCCCAGAGCCCCAGCTCACTGGACCAGCCCTGGCCAACAACAACAGGGGCTGCTTGGTGGCAACGGCCCCACTCTGCAGGGGCCCCATCTTCGCAGCAGCCTCCCTGTGCCCGCCTGCTGCCCGTGATGGAGCCTGGGGGTGCTGGCTCCCCCCAGCACCACCACCCCCACCCCTGCTACCTCTCCTAGAAGCCACAAGGGGAGGGTGCGGCAGAGAGCAGGGGGAAGTGGGGACTCCTGGAGACCCTGCCCCTGCAGCCTTTCTGTCTTTGACAGGCACAAGAGCCCCCCAGGGAAAGCACATTCCAAAGGAGAAGCACTGGCAGTGGGGACTCTGCTGCCACTGCCCTCTGCCTCTCCTGCTCCCCTGGAAATGGTGCTGGGGGGAAACTAGCTTAACCCCCCAAGCACTGACTCCTGCTCCCCCCTCGCTGCCTCTCTCTGATAAAGGCAGAGGAGGGCGGGCAGATGGGATGGTGACTGGTCACGTTCCTACTCGACTACCCAATGAGCACATGCTTATCAGCTCGTCGACAGTCGCCTCCATCCCCAGAGAGAGCTCCATAAAACCATGCCTGGTGTGAGCAAAGCACATAAGGAAGCGCTGTTCACGCCTTCTAACAGAACCCAGCCTGGGCCCTCCGGAGCTCAGCGCATGAGCCTCTGTGGCTGAGCGAAAAGCCAGCTGGCTCTCAGGCAAGGCTGTAGAACAAGCTTAGACCACTTACAGAGAGAGAGAATAAGTGCCACTCCGTGGGACAATGCACCACACTCAGTAGGCTTGTGGGTTACATTAGCACAAGAACTAGGGTGCCAATGAAATGAATAGGTAGCAGGTTTAAAACAAATGGAAGTTTTTCTTCACAGAGTGCAGAGTCAACCTGTGGAACTCCTTAGAACATCAGAGCGGCCAGACTGGGTCAGACCAAAGGCCCATCCAGCCCAGCACCCTGTCTGCCGACAGCGGCCAATGCCGGGTGCCGCAGAGGGAGTGAATCCAACAGGTAACGATCCATAGTAATAGAGATGTAGCCGTGTTAGTCTGGTCTTGCTTTCTCCTGTCTTTTGTTTCAGGGAATGATCCAGCGGTCTCTCTCCTGCCATCCATCTCCACCCTCTGACAAACAAGAGTTTAGGGACACCATTCCTACCCAGCTTGGCTAATAGCCATTAAGCTAATAGCCATTGATGGACCTAACCTTCATGAATCTATCTAGCTCTTTTTTGAACCCTGTTAAAGTCCTGGCCTTCACCTCTGGCAAGGAGTTCCACAGGTTGACTATTTCCCGAGTGAAGAAAAACTTGCTTTTTTTGTTTTACAGCTGCTGCCTATTAATTTCATTTGGTGACCCCTAGTTCTTTTATTGTGGGAATAAGTAAATAACTTTTCCTTATTCACTTTCTCCACACCACTCATGATTGTATAGACCCCATCATATCCCCCCTCAGTCTCCTCTTTTCCGAGCTGAAAAGTCCTAGTCTCTTTAATCTCTACGCATACGGACACCGTTCCAAACCCCTCATTTTAGTTGCCCTTCTCTGAACCTTTTCTAATGCCAGTATATTTTTTTGAGATGAGACCACATCTGTCCGCAGTATTCCAGATGTGGGTGTCCCATGGATTTATATAAGGGCAAGAAGATATTCTCCATCTTATTCTCTATCCCTTTTTTAATGATTCCTAACATCCTGTTTGCTTTTTTGACTGACACTGCACACTGCATGGACGTCTTCAGAGAACTAGCCACGATGATTCCAAGATCTCTTTCCTGATTAGTTGTAGCTAAGTTAGCCCCCATCATATTAAATGTCTAGTTGGGGTTATTTTTACCAATGTGCATTACTTTACATTTATCCACATTACATTTCATTTGCCATTTTGTTGCCCAATCACTCAGTTTGGTGAGATCTTTGTGAAGTTCTTCACAGTCTGCTTTGGTCTTAACTATCTTGAGCAGTTTAGTATCATCTGCAAACTTTGCCACCTCACTGTTTACCCCTTTCTCCAGATCATTTATGAATAAGTTGAATAGGATTGGTCCCAGGACTGACCCTTGGGGGACACCACTAGTTACCCCTCTCCATTCTGAAAACTTAGCATTTATTCCTACCCTTTGCTTCCTGTCTTTTAACCAGTTCTCAGTCCCTGAAAAGATCTTCTCTCTTATCCCATAACAACTTAATTTATGTAAGAGCCTTTGGTGAGGGACCTTGTCAAAGGCTTTCTGGAAATCTAAGTACATTATATCTACTGGATCCCCCTTGTCCATATGTTTGTTAACCCCTTCAAAGAACTCTAACAGATTCGTAAGACATGATTTCCCTTTACAAAACCCATGCTGACTTTTGCCCAACAAATTATGTTCTTCTATGTGTCTGAATTTTATTCTTCACTATTGTTTCTGGTCCTGACATGTCTGTAATTGCCGGGATCGCCTCTAGAGCCCTTTTTAAATATTGGTGTTACATTAGCTGTCTTCCAGTCATTGGGTACAGAAGTTGATTTAAAGGGTAGGTTACAAACCCTAGTTAATAGTTCTGCAATTTCCCATCTGAGTTCTTTCAGAACCCTTGGGTGATGCCATCTGGTCCCGGTGACTGGATTACTGTGACGTTTATCAATTAATTCCAAAACCTCCTCTAATGACACTTCAATTTGTGACAAATCCTCAGATTTGTCATCTACGAAGGTCGGGTCAGGGTTGGGAATCTCCCCAACATCCTCAGCCGTGAAGACCGAAGCAAAGAATTCCTTTAGTTTCTCCGCAATGACTATTGTCTCTAAGTGTCCTTTTGTATCTCGATCGTCCAGGGGCCCCACTGGCTGCTTAGCAGGCTTCCTGCTTCTGACGGACTTAAACATTTTGTTATTACCTTGGGAGTTTTTGGCTCGCTGTTCTTCAAACTCCTTTTTGGCTTTTCTTATTGCATTTTACACTCCATTTGGCAGTGTTTATGCTCCTTTCGATTTTCCTCGCTAGCATTGGACTTCCACACTTGCCAGAGGATATTGAAGACCAGGACTTTAACAGGGTTTAAAATAGATCTGGTCCTGTTTTGGGCAGGGGGCTGGACTCAGTGACTCCTGAGGTCTCTTCCGGCCCTAGGATTCTAAAGCCTGGAGGAAAGGCCCATCAATGGCTATTAGCCAGGGTGGGAGGGACGGGGGTCCCCAGAGCAGGGAATGGGCAATGGGAGGGATTGCTTGCTGGATCCTTGTTCTGTTCCTTCCTTTCGGGGCACCTGGCCACTGAGGGCAGACCCAGCCTGGTTGTTCTCATGCTCTTCCCCCAGCCCTGAACGCCCACTCCGGGTACACTGGGAGCTGGGCAGGAGTGTGCTGGCTGCTGGCGGCCTGGGGCTGCTCACCTGGAGGGTGGGGCGCCCTCCCAGCACCATCAGCTCCTGCCAGCTCAGGGATCGGGGCCTCCTCAACGGGCGAGATGATGTTCTCCTAGCAGCCGGGGAGAGGGAGGGTCAGTGCTGAGCAGCTGGGACCTGGGCCTCACAGAGGGGGGTCGCGGGCTGCCCCGGAGCCTCACTCACCTCCACCAGTGCCTGCAGGAGGCGCTGGGTCAAGGGCCCAAAGGGGCAGCCGTCCTGGGGCAGCTCCTGCTGGGACTCCGACTTCTTCAGCAGGGCATCCACATCTGGGGGGAGGGAGGCGAGTGGAGAGTGGTGAGCAGAGTCGGGGAGGGGAGAGCAAAGCTGGGGGCTGGGGGCAGCTGCAGCAAGCAGCCTCTGCTCACCGACTCTCGCCCTCCCCCCCACCAGTCCCTCCGCGCTGGGGGCAGCTGCAGCAAGCAGCCTCCGCA